ATTCAGGATGTAGACTTGTTACAGCAGATAATCTCTTGGCTACAGTTGGTCATTTCATAAAGTACTCCCTCCAGTCTCTTCGTCTCATAATTATTGTCCAGTTTATATTTTCATTTTTAGTTTAATTTATACTAAAAGTGAAATCTCAAAATGGACAATAATTATGGGACGGAAGGAGTAATTTATTTGGTGGGAATTGCTAGCCAATTCAAACTGAATGCTTACACGGTCTATACTTGTGAAAGATACATTCCAAATATATCTTCTAACTGTAAAATGTAAATGACTTTTTTTCTCGGAATAATCATTTTGAAACAAAAGAATTAATTTTATTTTCCATGTTGAATTGATGCGAGAGACCTGTCGTGTTATATCCCTAAGAACACGAGGAAGGGAAAACATAGGTTAAAAGGTCAAGAGACAATCTACACCAATAAATGGAGTCAAGTTTGGCATTTGATGAGTCTTTGTCGTGAAGAGTACGTTACACATTAATAGTTTGCTAATTTAAAAGTATATACGCATAAATATATATTTGTCTATATTCATTATCCATTCTTGGCTTCCATATGCGATTTGTTGGCTTCAGCAATTCAGAGTAAAAGTAAAGATAGAACAAAAAAACTAGTGCGATTTATGTCAATATCGAGTTAGATGATCCATTATGAAGCAGTAGTAGTATCTGAGTGGATAATTTGTGGGATTTATTGCAGGTCCATTTGCTTTGTTTTTTTTTTTTTTTGGTAGTGACCTGTGTGGAGAAGCACAAAACACAACTCATAAAATACTATTACCAAAAAGTACTACTAGTACACTCCATTTGCTTTGTCTTGAGATGAAACTTCAACGCTACAACTAAGCATTCCTCATAATTCAATTCGATTTGCCAAATAATTCAAACCCTTTCTTTAATCTAAAGCTCTGTTAACTCTTTGCGTTGTTGTGTAATACCCAGTCCAAATCTATTGGGTTGTCAGTTGTCACAAACCACAAGGATGATTCCTTAATTTGTTTTGTTATGGCCGTGTGTGCGTCTCTGTGTGTGTGTGTGTGTGTGTGTCTAATCTGACAGTTGTAATAAAAGGACAATTTTCTTCCATCCTACATATACTAATAAGGCCATAATCCAAAGGAAATGATGGATGAATTCATGAATCCTGTCGGACCGATTTTAAGTCATTCAGATGAATATATAAGAAATTGTTTCTTTTAATTTTGTTTTACGTTGGAACGTGGTGTAAGAAATCTCGATTATGCTTGTGTAATGTGATCTATATAGAAAATGACGTTCACACATGTACACTGTCTATCTTGATGCCACATCTACTAGGTCTATCAATACTATATTATCACCTACGCGTTTTGGCTTCATAATCTTCTCTTTTCACAACTAAATTTCAACCTGATCACCATCTCATCAAAATGTATCTATAGTTATCAACTTTTTTTTTAAGTTAATCACAGTCCTTTCAATCAAAAAGTCGTATGATAGTATTAATTCAAAAGATTTATACCTAGAAACTTCAAAGATAAAAGTCTCTTTTTTCTTAGTTAATATATAAGATTAATTAAACGCCATTTTTATTTCGGAAGAGACGAGAAAAAAGTATCATCAACAAACTCATCATACCAAGTAAATGGTTGTGCATGGAGAGATGAGGTGGAATTGGAAACATTAATTAAGACCTAATTAATGATTGCTTACCGGAAATAGTGGAACTCGAACATGTTAGCTTCAATAATACAATCACTATTTTTCTTCCAATACCTTGAAGTAGTTGATTTGGGGGTAGTATAGTACACACACCACACACGTTAGAGGCTGTAATTAGAAAAAAGAAGGCAAAAAAAGTATACCGAGTTTCCAATTCCAAAAGTATCCCGCCGACATTCATTAAGGTTCACTCCTCCTTTTTATTCTTTTACCTTACTAACCACTACAACTAATATGGTTGTATACTCTTCTTTCTTGTTTCAAAACGATTGTTTTCTTCTTCTTCTTTTTTTTTTTTTTCATTTATCATAAGAATTTTATTTTATGTTAGAATTTTTCCTGGCAGTATACATGTAAGATAAGTTGTCGCCAATACTTTGTATACATTTCTAAAAATTCTATAACTTACGTAGAGAATAATGTATGTGGTGGAAGAGGACTCCATCCCCAATCTATGGAGAAAGCATCGTTTCATAATAACTTGCACTCATAACACTAATTAAGCTAAGTAGAGCCTACTAATACGATATGGTATGGCATCATTTCATATATATATGCTAATAATATAAAGAAAGGAAAATACTTTGCTTTAGGACAGTGATCACTCAAAAATTATGCTGCCAAAGCTGTGTCCGAGCTGAGCTCATCCCCCCTTGGTATTTGTACGTTAAGAATCTACTTCTATTCTTCTTTCATTAGGCGGCCGCTGGATACATTCCTTTGTACAACTTCCATGTTAATTCCACCACTACAAACTAACTATTTCCTTCATTTGTTTTCCATATTCATTCTCGCACCTTCAAGCAAAACAAAACTCTTCCTATCATTTTGGTACAGCCACCGCCCATTCCAATTTTTTATTCTTTTATAACTTGCCATTATTTTAAAATATATATTTTCATGGGTAAATTAACTAAGGGGTTCCTCTGAAATTTTGTCACAATGATGAACTCTAAATGCGCACCTAATCATTACTGGGTATAATTCAAATTAACAACAAAAAAAAATGTAATAATGTGTAGAGCATTACATAGCACGAACATTATTTATTATTTGGTACAGATCATTTTTGGGGGGGATATTTTTTATTTTGGAAGACTTGTATAATTAAGTTCGTTGCACAAAGGCCATTGACTATGTCAATTTGTCAACCATTTCTTTCACTTAGAACCGGTAATGAAAAGCCAGTGTACTGGCTAGTTCCCCCTTAGAACCGGTAATGAAAAGGACGATTTATCACATTCTCACAATCCCACTGCTGTCGTTTAGTTGCTTTCTCCAGGAAACCAAGACCAAGTTATTGTATTTTATCCAAATCATTCAAGTTGTAAGGAGAAATAAAAACAATGAAGGAGGTAAGAATTTAAAATTATTATTACATTGTGGGTAGAAATCATTGTTATATATATTGCAATTACGAATGTCACCATATCTGAAAGATGAAATAATTTTTTTATGGGACTAACCGTCGACCAAACAATACGTAATAACATTCCCTTTGTTCAAAATTTTTAAGCCTAGCTCAACTGTGGGTACAAAAAATGTTGTCCCTCAAAATTGAATCCAGAACTTGATAAGCACAAGTAAGACGATTGAGGCTTAATCAATGATTGGCTTCAACAAGCCTGCAGTGAATACAAGATGACAAGTGCAAAGAAAATCAATGTCCCAAGCTAGCTAGCTAGCTAATTCCATTTTCCTTAATTTTGCATGGTGACGGATCGAACTGCCATCCATATGTGATTCAATCGATGGGATTTGTCTTAAACTGAAAACAGCCAAGTGTTACACGCCATTTCACATATATGACGGATCACCAAATTTGAAACGGAACGGGGAAGGAAGGCCAAAGGGTTTTTAAGTAAAGTTGTCACAAACTGACACACACATTAAATTAATCACATACATTAATTTGCAGCCTTTCAGGTGATATGGTGCAATGAATATTAATCACAGTGAATTTAAGGATCCCGATCGAGGTGTTACAGAGACACACAAGACAAACCTTTTATCATCATTGAACCAATGATTTGGGTCCAGGAAACGTGTCAGTGTGTTGACATACATAATAATCAGTAGTAGTATTTTACCACTAAGTAAGTAATGTAAGTAGTAGAAGAAGTAGTAGTATGGAATTAGAAGGAATGATAAACCGGCGTGATTCTTGGGGGTCAGTTTTTAACAAAAGTACGTAGTGATCACTACTTCTTCTTATGCTAATGTGCGGCCAAAGCAGCTGAGTGGGTCAACTGCACATGGATTTTGGAATTCTATTTTGCTTTGTTTATACACACTGATCACAATATTATTATTACCCACCGCTACCAATTCCATTATCATCATCGCCCTCATTAATTTCACCTCCTCGTACTCTACAAAACCATGTTAATTCTCAGCCGTCATCCCAACCATTGCCATTTCCCTTCTCAATATTCTCTATTTTCAGGCTAGAATTTTACCGTGTTTTTTTTTTTTTACTAATATAACATTGTATGGTGGAATACTAATTATAAGGCACCTAGCTAGCAAGCTGATTATGTCAAGGTTAATTAGTGCAATAAAATAAGAAAGGGGAATAATTAAAAGAAATGAAAAATGGGAAATAGGGAAGTGGAGGAGCTCAACTTGGAACAAAAATGGGGTGCCAGGCTTGCACTCTAATCCTCCACAACAAGGAATCGTTGGGAAAAAGTAATGGGTTTGCTTCAAAGCCAACCGAATCTCACTCTCCTTTCCCTCTCCTCCTCATGCTTCTTACGTTCCATCTCCTGTCTTTCCCACTTTTTCCCTAATTTCTATAACTTATTACTACTTTTTAACCATAATATATATAGTACCTCCCCATATATAACAAGCTACTAAGTTAGTACTCATCTCCATCATCATCATCACACTCTTCTCTGTTTCATTTCCACTTACCTTATTGGTGGCCTTCTCAAACCTTAATTTCTCTTTCTCATTCTATATACATACTATTATTACTACACAAACTGAAATACTAGTCTACATTATTATTATTGAACTCATTCACGGGAACGGCTTTTTCACACTACCTAAAAACAACCTTTCACCAAATATTCACTGCTCTAACTGTTACTTTACTTTCCTCACTCTCTTTTCCCTCTTTTTTTTTTTCTTCCTTTCCCCCTTCCCATTCCATATATAACGTCTCCACTCCTCTTACATTCTTTCCTCCTTCTCCTTCCTACACTTATCATTATCAGTTTCTCTCTGTTTTTTCTTCTTTCAAAAAGTACTACTAATTAAACGCGCTTAGCTAGCTTCCATGGAGATTCATAATCAAGAAGAAGAAGCAATGGTGATGGCGGGTTCCAGGCATATCTTCAAAGGAAAGCGCACCAAGCGACAAAGGTCGGTTTCTTCCTTCGTCTTAACCATGGCGACTGCAGCCACAAGCTCTTGTAGCAGCGGCCCGGAATTCAGTTACGGCGGCGGCGGCGGCGGCGGAGGTGTTTTTCTGGATGTGAATTATACCCCTTCGCCCTCCGATTCAGGGGAATTAGCACAGAGTTCCGTGGAGGAAGAAGACATGGCTAATTGTTTGATTCTTCTCGCACAAGGCAGGAATTCTAATTCCCAGCAGAAGCAGATGATTTCATCGTCGATTTCACAACAGCCCGGAATTATAATCAGCCGTCCTCCCTCGGCGGCGGCGGATGTTTATCAGTGCAAAACTTGCGACCGGTGTTTCCCTTCGTTTCAGGCGTTGGGTGGTCACAGGGCAAGTCATAAAAAGCCAAAAGTAACGCCGGAAGAGAAGAAACAGGCGGCCATGTTGATCGGAAATGGAAGCCATGAAAGCAGCAGTAGTACTTCTACAACTGTTCGATTGATTGCCCAACAGGAGGACACCAGTTTATCGCTTCAAATTCCAGGCAGAACAGACTCATGCAATATCATCACCACTTCTAATTCGAATCATCAGAATAATAATAATAATAATAATAATAATAATAAATCCAGGGTCCACGAATGTTCCATTTGTGGTGCTGAATTTAGTTCGGGTCAGGCTTTGGGGGGCCACATGAGGCGACACAGACCTCTGCCTTCTACTACCATGGTTAGCTCCGGCACTAATTTCGAGGATTCTCACCATCATCATCATCATCATCAAGAGGTTAAGAAACAGAGAACCCTTCTCTCTCTGGACCTCAATCTTCCTGCATCATCTGAGCCCGAAGAAGGAGGAGGAGAAGAAGAAGATTGCAAAAATTTAAAGTATAATCCCTTTACGTCAAAGCAAGAAGTGATGGTTTTCTCCACATCTTCCTTGGTTGATTGTCATTACTAGGCCAGTCAATTTTATTAATTCCCCTATTCTTTTGTTACATATTGATATCTGATCATATATACACTTCGATTTAGGAAATATGAATTTGTTGTGGTATATTATTAACCGAGAGATTAGTCATTGTTGTTATACATCAATTCCCCATACAATATATATACACATTTATTCTGTGAATTCTTTCATTTATATTCTGCGCACAACTGTTTGTAAATGTAAAATCTCATCATCGTCTTTTTTTTTTTTAAAATAAAAAAATAAAAATAAAAAATAAAAATTCTTCTGAAAGTGGCCACGGTGGCATATGATTGATTCATCAGAAAGTGTTACTAAATGCTGGTTCTTCTTGTACTTATTTACTTTATGATGCTTCTACTGCTACTGGGGTCATTTTTTCTTTCTTCTTTTGTTATGCTTCTTATGTAGTATCTTTTTGTTGTCATTGTGTAAAAAGTGTACGAAGGGGGACCCACCAGGGGTGGGGACGGAGGGGAATACAGAAAGGTGAGAGGAAGTAGAAGAGGGAGCGAACTTGACAACAAAATGGTACTGGCCAGTTAGATGAATATACTGTATATGATTAGGTGAAGCCAGCATCAGCAGCTCCACTATTGCCACCCACAACCAATTATATATATAAAAAAAAAAGTGGTGGAGGAGGAGGACTGGAGGCGGAGGAGGAGGTGGATGTGGATTAGGTTGGGTTGTTTGATTCACAAGAAAGCTGCTTGGTTATTTGTGTCTGTTTTCTCATTAAAATTAATGTTGATGGACAAGTGACTGTAGTTAATGGAGGATCATAACAAGCGCAAGTAGGCAGCTAACTTGTACTACTCACAAAACAAGGCCCCTAATTATTAATGCCTCCATATTCTTCTCTCTATGCTTAATTTGCTGCCACTTACTTTCTTTTCATTTTGTGCTGTCCGCTAGAGTAACAAGCAGTGTCGTTTTTAAGTTTTAATCTGGTTCAATCTTGTCACTGTTAAAGCGTTAACCGCACTACACACGCTAAATTAATTTGCAAGAAAATGGTAGAATTATAAGATCAAACTTTTATATCTATATTAACATTCAACAGCAGTCAGAGTGGTCGACTTTTATCAACTAGTGGGTGTAGATCACACGAATTCTCTCATGTTGCGTATACCACAGTTTTTAAAGATTTGTGCATTATAATCTTTTCACCCATTTCAGCTGTTAGTTTTTTGTGTACAATTTTTGGAGTCAAACAATATACACAATCAAGCAAAAGAAGGTGGTTAAATCCCGCGGGGAAAAACAGCAAATGTGCCCATGTTATTAAAAAGAGGTCTGAAACTGAAATCACAGATCAGGATTTTTGTCAATATCCGACATGCATCCGTAGATAGATGGCGCGGATTTGGGGACGGCGAAACTTAAATTACAACTCACTTTCTTCCGCCGAAATCCTCGGCTTCTCACACCTCCTCAACTTCATAGTGTTTGCTCTCACTATTTCTCTCTCTTTTTTATTTTTTTTTATTTTTTTAAGTACTCCTGCTTCGTCACCGTTAAAGCGTTCTATTCTACAAGGTGTCTTTGTAAATTTTCCCGCATGCAAGTATGTAACACTCCACAGCCCAGCTCCTATTACGACCTACTTTTTTGTTTTGTTAGTTTTTTCCATTTTCTTTCATTTTTTGATAGTAATTTTTACTTTTAGCGCTCGTTTTATTTTATTTTTTCATACGAGTACTTTTTTTAAAAATTTTATTTTCCCTCTTTGACGAAGAAAAAAACTAAATAAACATGTAAAATGTTCTTGTTGGTTTTGTCTAGTACTCCACAGAAACTCAGGATATTTAATAAGATAGTGTTTGGACAACGTTTTGTTTTAGTTCTTTATTTAAATTTGGAAGGAGATTTAAAATATAATTTAATTTTTGATTTAAAAAGTATTATAGTATAGTGACTATTTATGAAATTAAAATAGTTAGTGACCAAAATGAAGACTTTACAATAGTGTTATGACCAAACGCAAGACTTTATAATAGTTCATTGACCAAACGAAAGACTTTACAATAGTTCAGTGACCAAACACAGTAAAGACTTTACAATAGTTCAATGACCAAAATGAATACTTTACAATAGTGTAATGACCAAACACAATATTTTAAAAAATAAATTAAAATATTATTTGGATAGTACATCGGATTTTGTGTTTAAGATATAAAATGAGACAAAAAATAAAACAAGTGATTGGAAAAACAAGGCCTTATTCTTTCTTTCCATAATCAAATCAAATTGTACCCATCAAGTTCCACCTCAGATAAATGGATTAAGAGTACATCAGGCCATAAATAACGCAGCAGGCTTAAAGGCCCAAGTACGGAAGAATTTTGGATCCGGCCCAAGAAAAGTAAAATTGGCTGGCCCTAAGAAAATCATCAGTGGTCCGTGTCTTCTAGCGCTGCAGTCTTTCTCAGTGGAACCTGGGAGCCTCTTTCAACTGAAGAACACACGGAGAAGGGGGGAAGAGAGATGGCAGTACCGGGGAGACGCAACGGCATGATGAGCGATGATGAAGAAGATGGGGCTCTTTTTGGTGGGGATGTTGAGTTTGTCGAAGCCGGTTCCGATTCCGATACACCCCCTCACCTCCGTGAACTGGCGGCGGCTGCCCAGTTAGGAAACGTCGACCAACTCCGTTCTGCCCTAGGTCTGCCTTTCCACGATTTTTCTATTTCACGTCTTTCCTATCTCATTATTCTTTTCTCTGACTCTCGTGAGTTTTTGCGATTTTGTATCTGCTTTATTGTTGCAAGTGTTGCCCCAATACGTGCGTTAGGGATCTTCTCTGAACTAATGCTAGATACATAAGCTGAATTGATGAGAATTGGAGATAACGTTCAATTGTAAATAGGTGGCTAGTTAATCTTTTGTCGTTCTGGTTTAAGCTGCGTTTCTTCCCTTTTCATGAACTTATTAGAAGGCGTGACATCTCTTTAAGCGTTGCCGGGGCTTAATGTTTTGTTTCGAAGGGGAAGCACACTTTTGTGTGTGCTTTTGTGATTGTCTTTCTGTTCCTATGGTTTGGATTCTTTTGGTCTTACGGTTTTGTTGCACTTTTTTGTTTATTATTGTATCCACTTGTTTGAAGATCAAGAGAGCATTCACTTGTTAGCTTGCGCATACCTGAAAAGTTGCACAGGTTCTAGGTTTAATTCCTTTTTAATTTGTGACTGCAGATAATTTGGATGGTAGTATTGATGAAGCCGTGGAGGATGGGGATACTGCTCTCCATCTTACTTGTTTGTATGGCCATCTCCCTTGCGTCCAGGTGGGTTCTACAGTTCTCTTCTCTCACTTCATCTCATCGTTCTTTGCAAAATTACTGTAACTATTGTTGAGCCTTTTGATTAGAGAAATAGCAGTTTTCAGCCTTTGGCTGATTAAGTGCTTAGCTAGTTGGAATCCTTTTATTTTGTAGTCTTTGAGCCAGATAGAGATCGTCAATTTCGCAGCTTGGGATGTTCCAATGGAATCTTGATGTAGACATTACTTTACCTAGTGGCTGAATAGGATTCTGATCGTACTTAACAAGTTTAGGCATTGTTTTGGAGCTCTATCATGCTACTTGGTGTAGATTTAGAATGTCACTTATTTGTAATAAGATTTGAGATAGGAATGTTTGTTCTGATTTGTACCATCTAGTGTCTAAAAAGTTACAGATATTTTTTGGTTATTCTATAGCTTTTGCTGGAGAGAGGAGCTTCCTTGGAGGTGAAGGATGAGGATGGAGCCATTCCACTTCACGATGCTTGTGCAGGAGGTAGGTTTTGTATTGTCATCAATACTATTTACTGTGGAATTGCAGCTAATTTAATTGAAACCTACTGTCAACAGGATTTACAGATATAGTTCAGCTTCTACTCTCAAGTGCCAGTGGTCCTGAGGCTGTCAAAAGGATGCTGGAATCGGTTGATGTGGAGGGTGATACGGTGAGTCAGTGGTAGTTGCAGTCCCTGGAATTTGATAAATTTCTAAAATATTCGCTGGGGAGACTTGTAATGTGTGTTTTGAAAACTGTAGGCTTTATAATTTGATGAATATTTTGTAGTAGAGGAAAGTCTATATATCAGAGTATTCTCACATTCCTGATATTCTAAAATTTCTGTAGCCTCTTCATCATGCGGCTAGAGGCGAGCACCCGGCTGTTGTTAGGTTGCTGTTGGCATATGGGGCATCTCCTACTATGACAAACATTTATGGAAAGGTTGATGTGTTCTCTGGCATTCATACTTGTTTTACAGCTGCTGCTTCCTGGTTACTAATGGGTAATTTTGACAGGTACCAAGTGAACTTGCTGATCCAGACACAGAAGCAAAGAGTATCTTGGAAGAGGCTGTCAGTAGTTTAACCAGCAGTTAGGCTAGCTTAGGGTTTCAGCTTTGGCTTATTCCTACTATATACACCTACGATGATAGCACTTTTGGAAATATTCTACGTAGTATTTTCATTTTGCTTTAGTGATAATAATATTTAGTGTATGAACCTGAAACATCAGACTTAAATTCTTTTATAGGCACCATCTTTTCTTTTCCTTATTCGAAAATGGATTAATGTTTGAAAGAAATTCACTTGTATTCTTTGATTTCACTTGCTTTAGCCTAGAGACTCGTTTCGCTTTCTGCATTTAAATTGCACACAATGTTATGTTCGCCAGTGCAGAATCCGAATTGAGATTGATTATCAGTTATGTTGTCATTGCTTGTTCCATGGATTGAAGCATTCACTCCCGTTTCTGATTCCTACACTGATCAAATGGTAGTGTTGCTGTGGCATTATTCCCTGCAAATCACGGCGAGATTTACACATATACCAGAACCCATTGTACGTGGCATACTCCCCTGAACTTCAAAGAAGAAATCCAAGCTCATGACTTCGAAAACATGGGTAACTGCAGGGATCGCTACCAAATTTGTGGTTCTACAAAGATTTCCTGGATTCTCAAGCTTCTCAGGCTTACCTGGGAACAAAACCAGGCAGACTTGTCCAGAAGTTTAAACGCGAAAGTGGAGCTAAATTTTGGCAGCAGTATCTGAAGCGAGAAAGTTGAAGGTAATGATTATTGCAAGGACCAGATCATTACGTGTTATCATCAACAACAAACAATAGAATGAGACATTTCTCGGAATTGGGAATATAGTTTTCTGATATATCACAGTCAGCGTGAACGTAAGTTGTCACAATCGGAAATGTTGCTCTGTTAATGTAATCTAGCCATTATGATTGCTCTAATAATGTTAAATCTAAAAGAACAAAATCTGCAGTTTTCATTTGTGTCCATCGGATGATAGCAACTCTTATTAGCAAGCACAAAGAGTACACAAAGAAATCCAGGCACCATCAAATATCTCTGGTCACTTTCTTTTTTCTTTTTTTTTTTTCTTTTTCCTTTACCAGAACCCAACTTGAGTGAAGCTAAAAAATCACAAGCCCCAAGAAAAAACATAAGAGCTAGCAAATTTACACATGCTAATAGAAGTTATTAGCGGTGAGACCTAGAGCAACAGCATATGTACCAGCAACTACTCAAGCACACAATCAAGTACATAAATGATACATATTTCATTGACGTCTGCGGCAAAAGATCAGGCTTTATGCACAGAGAAAGAAGCGCCGTCTACTGCAATCAATCAATGGTGTCTTGTGAAGCAGTTATTTTGTCTTTTCAAAGATTTCTATGAGCAACAACCTCCACCAGATGTCTGTTGTTCTTGTTTCTGTTTCAATATATTCCTCTTCCCAGCAGTAGATCCTTCTTCCAACAAACTAGGCACCTCCATTATCTGCATAAATATAAATACCTTATCCTTCTGTTTCTTTCTGAAAACTATTTCCTCCGATAATTCATCTGACCCAAAGTAACAGTAGTATACAAAGTAATAAAAGATCTTTACCTTTAAAGCCAGCTCTTCAAAGCATTTCTCCACATTTTCTCGCGTTCTGGCACTGCATTCAACGAATAAACATCCCAGATCTTTCGATAGGTTCATTCCTTCTTCTCTACTAACAACTCTTTCTGAATCCTGAAATGGAACTTTTTTAGCCAACTTTCCCATTCAACCAACCATAAGGAAAAAATGAGAACACTCTTCAACTACAACAACAAGCCTTTTTTCCCACTATGTGGATCCGGCTAAACACACTTCTACTACAAAAGAACAAATTCATTCGCTTAGTAGCTAGGTTGGTTGAATAATCTGAAAGAAGAAAAAGCTTCTCAAATTTCCACTTTGCTAGAGGGAATTTACAAAGAACAAAACATATGGACTTACTTTGTCAACTTTGTTTCCCACAAGCATCTTGACACAGTCCTGGTTAGTCGAGTAAAGTTCAACTTCTTTAGCCCATACATCAGACAAATTTGTGAAGGTTTCTCTCCTTGTCACATCATACACTAAAATAACACAGAATAAATAGCTTAATTAGATAAGGGCAGGAGGGATTTGTGTGATGAAGGAAAAGCAATTTATGCTGCCTTCACTCAACGTGTATCAGATAGCTACATTATATCCTAACCTTCTGTCTGAATGAACCATATGGATTCCAATCACAAACATTCATTACCCACATACATATTTAATCAAAAAGAAGAGTACGAAAAAATTGGTAGCTCCTGTAAAACATTATCATTGGTAGTGATTGATTTGTTACTTCTAGGGCTGTATCATTATTCATCAAAGATTGACAGTGGAAGAACACACAGAGTTTTCACCCTCAGTGCTAGGCTGCAATCACTTATATCTAAAACAGGACTAGATCCAAAAGGCCATCCATGCTTTAGTTTAGTCCAACACAGTACGAACCTAGAAATAGTGAAAACAAGATAATAGCATTGATGCATAGAACTAATTAGCTAAAACTGGTAAATAGTGGTCCATAAAATGACGAAATAACCACGTAGGAGAATAATTATTGCTCACTACACAATACACTCACGGGCATATGTTACATTCTAAACATGCTTGGGAAAGAAAAATAAAACACTCGGTCTGAAATAAGCCATATGAAGTTGTCAATGACATACCAAGTACAATTCCTTGGGCACCTCTATAATATGAGCTAGTCAAAGTCCGGAACCGCTCTTGTCCAGCTGCAGTAGATGTAAATAAGCCATTAAGACACAGAAATCAAGATGTGAAGACATAGAGGGGAAAAGAAACACCAATATTGGGGTCAGATAGTTGTCACATAAGAATGTCATATCATGATTATCCAAAGAAAAGATGCCCACGAGCAGCATCCTCAAAAAGTCACTTTACATACTTAAAAAATAAAAAAAAAAAATGTTGGCAGCAGAACAATAATCATGAGACAGTTGGAACTAATAAGTTTTTTCTTTTTTTTTTTTTACATTGTAAAGATAACTTCAAATTCAAAGTTAATAGTCTTATGTGCCACAGAAACTATTTGCAAAAGGCTTGACCAGAAGATTGCAGCCAAACGAGCTGATTTCGAATAACCGGAAGTTCAGTAAATCCTAGCTAATAATCAATGCATAAGACAGTATCTTCTTTTCTCAAATCCACTATTTTAATAAATAAACTTCACAAATTGACAGGAAAATTACCAGGTAAACCAATAATGGAAGCAGAGGAGATAGAAAATAGGAAAAAAAAATTAGAGGCATTTCAAGCAAACAATATCCAGGAGGAGGATTTTAATTGGTGTTGTAGAAGGTCACGAAAAGTTGTACAAGTGAAAGGCTCAGCTTACCAGTATCCCAAATCGTAAGCTTTATCTTTTTCTCACCAACTTTGAGCAACTTGATCTTGAAATCTACGCCTGAAATGGATGCACCAACAGAATCCCCAAAAGTCAGCAGTGATCCGGTCATTCTTTCAGAAATAACTTTAGTCTAAGCTAATAATCAAGATCAACATTCAACTTAAGATACTAAACTAGTAAGTACACAAAATAATTCCAGGCCAATCACAATGCTGCAATGAAAGATTGAGGCAATCATATCCACAACAAGAGCAGCATACTACTCAGATTGGATAGAAATGCATCCATAAACAGAGCAATTCAATTTCCTATTAGCTCAATTGATCAATGAACCTCAACAACAAATCCATTTGCTTATTCTACGTAAAGTAAATCTTGCAAACCAAACGGTATTCACTCCAAGATATAGTTGCCGACATTCTCGTAATTTGTACATATGAAAAAAAAAATAGAGATTACCAATAGTAGGAGAAAGATCTTCGACAGAATTGGAGATGAAAGTGACGAGAAGGCTGCTTTTGCCGACTCCAGAGTCACCGATCAACAAGATCTTAAACGACAGATCGTAGTTACTGCTGCCACCGCCACCGCCACCGGTGCTATTGCTCTGCCCGCCGGACGCCATTCCGTTATCTGACAAAGAATCTTTTACTTCAATACTTCACGGCTTTCTCTCTCTCTCTCTCTCTCTCTCTCTCTAAAGGTAAACAAGTTCTGACGCCAAGCACATGAATATGTAATTTTTAACCTTTCAACACAATACGTGCTCGTACTTGAATATTGAATAAGAGAGAGAAATAAAAGAATACTAACAAGGAGAAGAAATGGCGCAAAAAAAAAGGAAAGAAAAGTATAGAATAAGATGTTAGCTTAATCAAGGAAATTGGATCCTTCCTTCTCCGTTCTCCGCCTTCATTAAATACAGTAGTATGGTGTAGAGATTGGCCAAGTGTGTGACTGTGTGAGAGAGAAAGAAAAAGACAGTAGGAGAGGGAATGGAATAGACAGGGAAATAACGGCTATCTTAATTAAGCTTCTTTGGATCAGTAAAGAAGAAGAAGAGTCAGGACAATCTTAATTCTTATTCTTTTCTTTTCTTTTCTACTACTACTACTATTAGACCAGAGAGAGAGAGAGAGAGATGAGAGGAGAAGATGCCTATTCCTTTTTAGCGGGGGAATGGAAACGCAACTGTTGAAGTGCTGCTTTTTTTGGATGACGTTTGGACGTTGAAATGGAGAAACGGCACCTGAAACGGTGACCACTCGCCCTCGAGTGATTTTATATGACGTGAACAAACTTAACGACGTTAATAAAGACGGTGATGTCATAATGCCCAAACTTGGGCTCAATTGTACTTTTTCTAGTCGATTGGTGGTGGGTCAATTTTGTAAATGATACATAATTGGTTTAGGCGGGGTAAGTGGGCCTTTTTCTTTATGAGAAGATTTGGTTTGGATTAGACACAAGATGTCTCACATTATATGGGTTGTAAATTGTGTATGGTATATGTGCTTCCTCACCATTGTACTTGGTTGTTTTCTTATCTTACCATAATTAAATCCAGTTCTCAAACACTAAAAATGCAAATATTTTAAAAGTGATAGTAATAAATTCATAAAAGTATTAAACAGTTTGAGACTTTGAGTCTAATTGGTTTCAAATTTTGTTGGGTTTTTTCTCTTAAAAATTTATTCGCTTCGAATCTAGATTAGTCGAGACATCCTCGTGTCATTTTTTCTCTTTTCAGCTTTTGATGGCCTCTTCTTCTTTTTTTTTCTTTTGCTCGTTTGGATGATTTCAGAGTATATAGGACAAGTCAGAGTAGGGGCATGAGGATTGAGGCAAATAAAAAAAATAGCAGTGGATCACATGGGATTCTGCTCCCATTAATCGCGAGATATTTTGTATACTTTATCTTTGATCAACAAATTTTGCTTTGAGAAGTTTCCTGATGCCTTTGGTTGATCTGCTTCTCACAAATTTTAAATTCGCTATAAATTAGTGTAGCATGAATAATAACACATGTACTTAAACCCCACCATATATATATATAATATAAGGTATAAGCCACCCAGTTGTACACATTTTACAGAGTTGCTTGTCTCCTCCGATCATCATTAGACATTTTGAAACGACCAGCAGGAACATCATTAGTATGGCCAAACCATAATAACCCAAAAACATGTCGTACCAACGAAAAGGTTGGAATTGAAAAGTTTTAGTGTAGAAATTAACCTGGGATTAATCGAGTTGTAGTACAGTGGAAGTTATTTTTATTAGAGAAAATGACTAATGAGGGAGGGGCTAACCTTAGTGCGAGATGTCGCGGTTAAATAGGGCAGGGGCGTGGTTTGTTTTGAAGTTTTTCTGACGTTTGGCAAATCCCTTTCTTTATAATCCAAGGAACCTAGTCCAAAAAGCTTCGTAAGGAGAGAGTGGACACAAATATTGATGATTGACCAATGTCAACGTCAAGATCTGGTTCCCGTTTCCTTGGACAATCCATCTGCTCCTTTCTCATATCTTTCGAGACACATACTAAAATGTAATATCAGCCATTGTGTTGGTTTAACGAGCCAAAGACATTGTGTTAAAAAAAAAAAAAAAAGAAAGGAATTGTCAAAACTGTTTCGTGAATTATAAAAATGAGATGAAAATTGTGAAAAAGAATAATGCTCATTCAATATTGTGTGGGTGTTTTGCCATACATCGATGGTTTCATACACTTTTGACAGACAAATAATATCAAACACATGCAATATATACCTAGCCAGTACGTGTATCATAAATTTAGCAAAAAAAAAAAGTGACTATTTTAATTTGGATTTTATGTTGCGACATGCACATTTAATTCCCCAATTTTACTCCCTTTTTAGCACACGTTTAATTTTAAACTTTTTTTTTTTGCTTATCCGGTTAGTTTTATATTATTTTATTTTACGAAATTTTTTTTAAAGCTGGTTTTTATTTTGGTTTTTTTCGGTTAATATGGTTCATCATCGAGACTTATGAATCTGGAGAATCAATTAGAGCAAACAATTTCAACTGATTAACAATAGAATTCGAAGAATTAAGCGTCAAATTTGGAATATTTTGAAGGATAACGATATTTATTTGGATGAATAATAGTAAACTTATCGATGAATAATGATAATATTGTGGACGAATAATGGTGTTCTTATAGTGAAAACGTTATGGAGTAATAAATTCAAATTTTGCAATGAATAACGATGCAAATCTGATGAATAATGATCCCATCCTAAATGAATAACAATATTACAATGAAGAATAATTATAGTTTTACAAGATGAATAATTGTACTTTAATGAATAATTAATATACGTTAATGGATGAATAACTTTGATAACGAGAGTATATATTATAATAGGTTAATATCAGCAACTAAACTAACAAATTTTTAATTATGTATTATACTAGACAAAAAATGAACAAAAAAACTAGTCATTGTTTTTAAAATATAAGGTCTTGAAGGATTTGCCGATGTTCGATAAGTTTATGTTGATTGTTTGATTTCAGCAACTCTGACAAAATATTTAATTCCCGACCGATCGATTTCATCTTGGTGAGCATTTCTTTGCTGTTGATCAAACATAAAGAACACTATAATAAGTGAGATTTCACATTCAATCAAAATTTTAATCATCAATAACAATGCTATTGAAGATGAATAATCATTTTGAAAAATGATGAATCGGCATTAAATTACATAAATCGAATGTAGTTAATAACAATCGTGTACAGGTATATATTAAATGATGAATAACAACATCACTGGTGATGAATAGTTCAAAGGATGAACTATTCCAATTCACATGATGAATGATATACATTCACATGATTATATCATATCACTCTTTAGATGACTAAAAGCATAGTAGAGGATGAATAACCATCATATTTGTATACGCCTAATTCAGACAAAATGCCTATAATAAACAGAATACTTAATGAATAACGTCTTAATAGACGATGAATAATCAAGATTAACATGATGACTAATCTTCAGATCTGCATAAACCCAATCCAAATCAAAATAACAAGAGTGCACATATAACATGGTGAATAACAGATTCGCAAGGGATGAATAATCACTTTTAATGGGATGAATAATGAACATATCTAGAAAAGCCTTCCAAAATCAACAACAAATGGATGAACAAAACTAAAAAATTGGTGAACAACCGTTTATACTCGAATGCATAGCTCTTACATCTACATAACCCATCCAAAAAACTCATCAATCGTTGAGTAGATTAATAATATTACCTCTTTCTCTCTTCAGTCATCGAGTTGCTCTTATTCGAATCAGAATATACAATCGTAGTCCTCTACATGAATATCTTGGAAAAAATAGCATTATTAGAATTTCATACACGGAAGAAACACGCAAAATTAATGAATAAAATCATGTATTACCTTAATTCTCATGTTCATCGGAGTATATTGCAACCAAATTTACGGAATTGGATGCAAAATCTGATTCCATCTTAAAAAATACAGCCGACGAGAGGTTTTGTTGCCAAATCGCTGCAGAGAAGAATATTTGATTTTTAAGATTTTTTTTTGTTTGAGACGGATTAGATTGAATAGAATAGGAAGATGGATATGGTTAATGGATGAAAATTAGGAGAAAAAGGTGGTTATGGGAATTTGAAAATCAAAAAATCCCGTAGAAAGAGCGGCTTTAATGGGCGCGTGCATATCACTTAAATGATATTGATGTAAATATTGGTACCTCCTCTAATTTTGAACGCACATTTAACAAACTAGGTACACCTTAGGAGCTCTATATTATAATTGCTTTTGACAGGAAACCAATACAGAGTATGTGGCTAACTTTATAAATTTTGATGTTCCGCGGCATGAGTATTGGACATATGATGTTAGTTTTTCAGATATTCTACTTTTAGCATACGTACGTAAGTGAAACATGATATTGACAGTATTTTTCACTTACATAACTTGATAATTTGAATATTTTGAGTTTTCTCAAACCTCCTTTCTGATAATGGTTTATTTGTTACATATAAGCAGCACAATTAACTCTGAATTTAGTAAGAAATTGGGGGCATTTCCTACTATTAGTGCATTCTACTTAACTAGTTTTCGTGTTTTTATTAGGTTGAGGTTTGATTGCACAATTGCTGAAAAATTGAGGCCAAGGGAACAAATTGTGGGCTGCTGAGGCAATGTTTGCTGAGCTGGACGAATAAGCACCTCCCTAGACAAGAAGCATCTCGTCATTAATGAGTATGTCTCCTCTAAAAGGCATGCTTGTCCCTGAGCCGAAATTTCAGCCACCTCTGCTGATCAATGAGGGCAATGCTGCCACTTCTGGAAGAAGAGAAGAAGAATAGCCAAGTTTAGATTCCAGGCACAAGGCATTGGGAGGATTAAACAAATCACAAGCATGGGAGGCTCTCATGATTAAAGAACCGGCTGCAAGGCCCTATAAAAGGGGGCACTTCACTCTCAGAATAAATAATCTATCTCTAGTTACCCTTTCAGTTCCCAAACACACACAGAAAAAACTCCAGGAAGAAGGCAAGAAGGAAGAAGGAGCAACACCCACTCAGTAAGGAAGCCAAGTTGAAGAACAGCCATTCCAGTTTCTGCTTCAGTTCTATGAGTGAACCCTTTCCACTCTCAGGAGTGGCTCAGAACTGCACAAGCTTTTTTCTCGTCTCTTAACTGTTAGCTCGAACTTCATTTATTATGCATACTTCTGTAATGTCTGTTGATGTAGTAGATGTAGCATTAATCTGTATGAGTAGCTAAGCAACTTCCAGGAGTTATTCTCCTCAACCTATGTTTAGTTGTTTAATGCACTGGTTTGTTCCTTGTTTTGAAGTTGAAAGTTTTTCTACATTCATTTACTTGATCACTAAACTGAATGCATGCTAGAACTAAGGGAGATCTGGAAAGATAAACTTGGTTTAGATTGTTTGAACTTTAACTTATGACATAGAGGTAACAGTCTATGGTTTTAACTAAGATAGGAATATACTTAGTTAACATAAGCATTCTTGAAGGCCTAAGAACTTAATGACTTTGTATCTGGAATCAATCATTGGAAAATAGATTGTTAAGGTTGCAAAGATGACTCTAGGAAAAATGGGAACTGACTTAGAGTTATAAGTGAGCTGAACGAACAAGAACCTAACCATTACAGTGCTAATAAAACAACTATAGCAGTAGGAAGAGGAGATGAATACCCCTGGCTTTCATTCCCCTGAGTGACTGTTTCCATTCCCCCGAGTGACACCTTGTTTGACTGGTAGTCTTTTTTTTTACAACAATTTTGGTAATTAGCTGTCCCCGTGGGATCGATCTAGCTTCCATTATCTACAAAATTCATAATCCAAGCTAGTAATATTTTTTTTGTGAACTCGGCACGCACCATTTTCTCGTATCAAAAAACGATTTCTCCCACACAAGTCACTAACCCTTGAGTCAAAACAAAGAAAAATTTCAAATGTGATTTATTATTCACGGAAAACAATATTATACTATCTACTACTAGGCGTATATCCTAAAACTCGTAATTATGTTCAGAAAATGTACTGTATATTTTTTCCCCAAAATAAAAAAATCTGCTTCCAATATTTAAAGAAGGCTCCAGAGTCCAGCCCAAGAAGATTTTTGGGGGCCCTTTTCAATATCATCAGTTAGCCCATAGATATAATAAGAAGTCCGCAAAATCAATACGGACTTACGGAGTCGGTGTAAGAAACCACCCGGGTAAGATAAAACAACCCGAAAAATCAATCAAACCCCTCCTTATTGAGGTTTTCCCCATCTCTCTTTGCAAGAAGAAAAATTAGGGCAGAGAAGAAGGAGAGTAATGGATCGGGAATGGGGTTCGAAGCCTGGCAGCGGAGGCGCTGCCTCCGCCCAAAACGAGGCCATTGACCGTCGCGAACGGTTGCGCCGACTTGCACTGGAGACAATCGACCTCGCCAAGGATCCCTACTTTATGCGCAATCACCTCGGAAGGTATTTTCGCTTCTTTAGAAGATTGTGTGAAATTTTTTTTGATATCAGATTTAAAAAGTTTCTTAACCGAGTTTCATATCCTTCATTAATGCGCATTCTTGTTTCTTTGTGTTCGAATTTGTAGCTATGAGTGCAAGCTGTGTTTGACACTACACAATAATGAGGGGAACTATTTAGCTCATACACAAGGAAAACGCCACCAGACTAATTTGGCTAAGAGAGCATCTCGTGAAGCTAGGGAAGCTCCCGCTCAGCCTCAGCCTCACAAGCGCAAAGTATCTCTTAAAAAATCAGGTAAACCCTAGAATTCTTTATTTCCCGAGTTTCTGAATTTTCAAGGAAAAAGAAAATTCGTAAGTGTTAATTGCCCGACATCTTCTTATTTGGCTTGTTAACTGAAAATTGAATCTGTGTGTTTGTTGTTAGTTAAAATTGGGAGGCCTGGATATAGAGTAACTAAGCAATTTGATCCGGAGACGAAACAGAGGTCGCTTCTCTTCCAGGTAATATCGAATTTCCCTTGGTTTTTTCTTTTATTGGTTAGTTTTTTTTTAATCCTTTTATTGATGCTTGAAATTTGAATGTTGCTCCTCTTGGTTGCATGCTGCTCTTATTTTGATGAAAAATACCATCCCGCTAGCCCATTGAGCATTGAAATAGGATAATACATGGGTCATAAATAGTTAGGGAAATTGGGGGATCATGACAGGAACCTTATGAAATCGTCACTGTTGAACACCACATGAATGTTTGTTTCTTAAGTCTTGCTTTCTATAACATGTTTTGAGCATTCACTTTAATTAGACTCGGTTCTCCAGGTGATGGCGTTCATGCAATGTGCCAAAATGCCCAGTAGGGAGTCGTATTGGAACTTTGCAATCTGCGATATTGGCATGTCCCTCTTTTATGCCTGTTTAATTGTATTTCTAGATTTGTACTTGCTGTTGATGCTTCCTTTTGAATTGTATATGGATTGATAGCGGTTCTTTTTTTTTTTTCCTCTTCCAATTTTTTTGCAGATTGAATACCCAGAGATTGAGGACAATACCAAACCAAGGCATCGGTTTATGTCTTCCTTCGAGCAGGTAATTATGCGTCTGCCAAGTCATCTTTTTATGCTGTGTTTTAGTGCTTTGCACAATAGTGTCTATGTAGAAGAGTCTCCGAGGTTGACTTGCTTACTTTATGTTTGTTCTTAATCTTTTGATCTGTTTGCAGAAAATCCAACCGTTTGATAAAAGATATCAGTTTCTTTTGTTTGCCGCCGAACCTTATGAAATCATTGCTTTCAAGGTAATTTATATTCACCTTAGCTCTGTGTTTTAAGGTTTAACGTTCTCTGATAGTTCTGGGAGATTTTGACTGTGGATGTTCTATGGACTTTGCAGGTTCCAAGTACAGAGATTGACAAGTCAACGCCCAAGTTCTTCTCACACTGGGATAAGGACTCAAAAATGTTTACGGTAAGAATATGAAATCTTCGTACCATGACGAGATATGTTTTCTTTTCTTGTTCTTTTCGCTTTGCTTATCTGATGGCATCAATTAAGCATATTGTTTTGACATCTGGCATGAGCTAGGTTTGAACATTGTTTTTGAACACCTGACATGAGCTAAAATGTGGGGTAGGAAGCATCTTAAATTATTTTTGGCGCAAAATTCGTTAATCTAACTTCTTCAAAGGGAAAATCTTTTAAAAGAAAGGGAAGGGAAAATGGCACCTTGTGCTGGATCATGTGGAATTAAGTTTGATGCATGCCATTTCTTCTACTTTCAGGTTTTACTTTTTTCTCGAGCTTAGCTTCGGGAGGAATCTTGTCGATTATTTGCATTTTAGATGTCTCACACTTTTAGATATTATGAGAAAGGACTGGCTAACATACGTAGAGCCCTTGTAATTGTGATTTTGGTTGACCTTTTTGATGATCCTTTATTGTTTTGCTAATTGAATTTGGTCTCTTTTCTGACGTATTTATGATCTAATTTGCAGTTGCAGTTGTACTTCAAGACAAAGCCACCAGAAGCCAACAAACCTCAAACTTCGTCTGCACCCAATGGAGTGCCACCCCCACCACAGGCTCCTCCTTTGCCACCACCACCACCTCCTGCAGGAATTCCACGAGGCGCTCCCCCACCTGGTTCAATTCCTCCCCCACCTATGGCTAATGTTCCGAGGCCTATGCCTCCAGGTGGGGCCTTACCTGCCCCTCCCCCTCCTCTTCCAGTTGGTGGCCCAATGGCTAATTTCACTCCAAGTAATCAAATGGGAGGACCCCCAATGATGCCTCCACAAGCTTTCCAAGGGCAACAAATGCAAGGCTAGGGAATTCGGCAACATACCTCCATCCTTGGCTGTATAAAGAAACTTTTCTGTTTCTTTAAATCTCTGTTTTTTTCTTTTTGAGTCCCAATGGCATTGAATTTAGCTGTGAGTCTAGACTCTAGAGATAGTAGACAGCTTCGTTATGAGCTGAAATTTACTTGTATTCTGTTGCCGGTTATTCAAGGGGTCTAGTGAAGTATTTTGTGAAATGGTATCTGCATTTTGGACAGCTCTCTCTCTCTCTCTCACACGCGCGCGCACACGTAATAATACTACATCTACGAAAGTAATTTTTAATAGGCGGGTGATTCTGTAAATTGAATTCCACCGCTCCACCACCCTTAAAGCCATGAGAATCCATCCAATTTGACGTGAATTGCCCAATGAAAAGGTAAAATAGTATGTGGACTTTGGAAAAGAAAAACATTGACAATATTGAAGAGTTAGGAATTGGGTGATTTTTTTTCTTCTATACCAAAATGTTCTTGGCGGTGAATTAAATCTTTGACCCAAACAATTTAATTGAATTTCTTCAAAGCTGAAAAAGCTAGTCTCAACAGAATTACTCTTCTTTCTTGAACGAAATACCGTAAAGCTAAAGGATCTGTATGAGATGTGAGAAAGACAAATTTCAGAGTATTTACTTCTTTCTTGTTTAATGGTGGCCGGGGCTGGGGCTGGGGCTGAGCCTCCGGAGGAGGATGAAGAGATATGAAAGTCTAAAAAATGATGAAACAGTGATAATTTTTAAAATGGTAATTGTGTATTTTTTACTTTAAAGTTTGCCTTGGATGCTAAAATCTGGCCTGGCAGAATGGCAAGCATTTTTAATACGGATGACTTCTCCTACTAAGACTTGTGATTCAACCGGGAAATCTAACTCTCGAAGACTGAGCTTCTAACGCACTACAGTTTGTGTGGACAATAATATCGGTGAGTCCAAAGTTTGGAGCCGCTTATAAATTGCAAGCAAAAATATATTCCAGGGTTCGATCTCAAAATAATGCGTATAGACCAGTTTCCTCTCCCAGAATAATCAACTTGTATAGTAATGGCGACACAAAAGCAATACAAACAATTATGAAGAGAAGAATATTTGAATTGTTTTGCACGGTATCTGCTGTTCCAGTGGTAAAGGCAAAAACTTCCTGCCTGGGGTTTTAATCTTCTAGTTTACTACCGTATTAGGGGGAAATACCTTCTTCATAAAATCCAGAAACCTCTGGGAGTAAAAAATAGGATCTACAGCTGATATAGAGATGGAGTCAAACTGCATCGATTTGTAGGCATGTTCAATCTTCTTACCAATGTTGTACTCTTGCAAAATGTCAATAATGCCTAGGTATAAAACGACGTCATAAACCTCGTGAAAGATTTGACTGGTTTCTCTACCGGGAATCAGCTCCGCCCTTGCGGGCATGTTAACTCCAAGTTGTATCTGGAGTCTGCAAAACACCGGCAAAAACTGTGAATGAGAAATGAAATATAGTTACTCCAGGCATAATTTTCTTTTAGTAAAGGAGAAGTACCTTGCAGTTCCAGGAAGCAGAAGATCAACTTCTTCATCACCTGTTGCAGATGATGTTCGCAATCGGCTACCTCTGACGTGGGGACCCACAACAACACTATTATCATCACCGCCGCTGGGGACCAAAATGAGGCCTTCCGGAGATATTTCATCCTCCATAGATTCTGAAATAAAAAAGTTCTTTTTCTTCACTGAAAACAGTCTCAAGAGAACGAAGATTGGGTCTCATCTTAAATGGTGTACCGCCTGAGGTTGTTACTAATACTAATGACAAACCCGCACCAAAAAAAATGAAAGAAACATAATAAGACAAATTATTTTTAGTTCTCAACTTCTTTTCCACCTAGTATACTTATGAGTTATCTTCTATCTTAACAAAAATACAAAAACAAGCATATGATCTACCTTCTTCTGCAACAATTTCAAGTCCATCTGCTACGAGTCTTTTACTGTGTGACATGAGAGATCTCAAGTGTTGAGGTGCCCTATAGTGAACACCAAGCAATAGGCTGTAATCCATTATGTTCTGTGATTCCAGAAATTTGCTGTCAATCTCAATCTGCCTGCAAGAAGATCCCAGAGCAATCATATAGCCAAAGTAAAAAAGAAACATCTTACATGCAAGACGAATTTGATGCTAATAACTTGGCAATAAATTTAGACCTTATGATTATCAAAGTCTTCACTCACAAATAACCTTCATTCTAAAGATATTTTTCCCCCATTTTTCAAAGGTTTACAAATAAGTCGACCAAATGCTTTTAGTACCACAAAGAGGTGAAAGAAAAGAGGAAGAAGAAGATATACTAATAATAAATGACAATCAGCATGGAAACATCAAGCCTTTTCTTTATTTAGCTATCAACTTACTTCATAAGGGCCTCACGCCAAGAAGGTTCCAGATAAAAGCAATAGTTTAAGTCCAGATCCTTGAGTATTGTGTTCTCATCAATTTCAACCTTGTCTGCAGATCGCCCCAGCGAAGAACCTTTTAAGTCAAACCTTCGATGGATCCTGAGCTCCGTGCAGAACATATTACCCATTACGACAAATCGAAACTGTAAGAGAGGAAGAAATTTATCATCAATTCCTATAGACCAATCACTTCATGTTTGGTTAGACATTATAGTAACTAATGACACGTCCAGACAAAAATGTCCCAACATACTACTGGAAATGGGGTGCTGTAAGTGTTGCTACCTTAGCAGTTAGCAGATTGTCTGGGAGTTCTCACTCAGAAGGTGGAGGGGTTTGTTCCAAGCATGTCATGGGGGGTTTGTTTTTAACAAACTGGAGAGAATGACAAAAATCACACTATGAACAAATGTACGAGCAATGCCCAAGTTTACCAACTCATGCAACGATTATGCAATGAATAACATATGAAACCTTGGTAGAAACTCATTCCAATTTCCAGGAAGAGAGGTGATAACAAAGCAATTGAAATATTTCTAACTAAATGCTATACAAAAGCAAGTTTATGCAACAGACTTTATAGTTAGCTGGGAAAGACAAGAATATAGCGGAAGAAACAAAATGAAAAGTGGGTTAAAATTCATTTCATCAACGGGAAAAGACGACAATGGAAGGAAAAAAAAAGAAAAGTGAGTTAAAATTCATCAATTACCTTTTGACCGCTGAATGGCTTTATCCTGTGAAGGCCAAAAAACTTGGTGATCAGAGTGTTGTCATATTTTTGCACATGATGATAATAGGATGGAAGCATTCTCAAAAGAACCTGAGGGTAGTAAAGTTGATTGTCAGAGTTAGGGATTCTGGTTTCTCACTGTTGCATAAAATTGGTAAGCAATAAGGATTTCAAAAAATGGAAGGCATAGGAGCTTGAGCAGAAATTTTGTAAGTACTGAGCATTTCAAAAATTGAAGGCATTTCAAGTAGGAGCTTCAGAATTGTACAGGAAACTACTGAAAATAGTTAACGAAGTGCTAATTTATAAGGAAACATGGAGGTCAGGACAACAGCTTTCATCTAGCAGTAAGCAACTAATAAACTGAAGCACGATTTTGCTGAACATTGACAATGCATAATAAATAAACAAATGAAGATAACTGAATGAAGGAAAACAGAGTTCAAAAGATCAATGAATAAGGCCCCAATTAAGATGGCAAGCAAACCTTGAGTTCTGATTTTCGTAAGGTCTTGATCATGAAACGATCATCTTGAGAGAGGAAAAACACACTACCACTTTTCCCAGGAGAAGAAAGTTCCCGAAGCGCATCATTTCCACAAATTGACATCATATAGTCAGCAGTATCAATCTTAAACATTTCCCTCAGATTCCTACAAGGCAAGAACAAGCCATTTGAGTTGTAAAGTGAATAAAAGCAACAAATAAACAAAAACCTGCTTCCAACATTAAGCTACAATTTTATCGAGCCACCTGTACCACATAAGGTTATCCAAAACACAATGGCAGCGGGGTAACATGTTAAATACTAGCAACCAAAGTGGCAAACCGAAGTTCAATGATTTCAGTATTCAGTCATCTTGATTGATACAGGCGATAATGTTCCCGGAAGACAAAGGATTAAAGAGACTTTCCATGTAGGCAACAAACACAGCAGGGCAAGAAATATTAAAAAACTATTCAACACCCTGTGTAGCTTTGAGCATTTCAAAGGATTTACAACAAAATGTTGATAGAGTTAAAAACAAAGAGGCACTTCATAGAAAAATAATCGATGATATGAAAAAGCCTTAAGCAGGTTCCAATTAATGCAGTAGGCAACCTACCTAAAAACCATTGGACAATAGTCTTTCCACTTGAAATCCTCTGATTGATGCCGAGGAGTCAATTGTGATCCCTCCTTGGGAAAGTTCATCCAGAAGCTGGCACGGGTGCCAAAATCAGAAGCCCTAACATCTCGTCTCTGGATAGGTGTTATTTTCCCGACTGTATATCTGGTAAAAACCAAAACATTCAAGTGCACATTGGTCAAGGTGAAACCTCAAGGTCAACCGTAGACAGTATAATTATTCTTTCCACCTCAAGGTCAAATGTAGACAGTATAATAATTCTTTCCAACTCAAACTCAAAAGTTAACATGGCGCAGAGTTTCTAACTACATTATAAATAACAGAGAAAAAGGATCATTGAAACAATCCTCCTCAAGAAGATGTCCTCTTTGCTATGATATTCCATTTGATTCCCCCAGGTGCATAAAAAACGGAGCTCAAAAAGATACAGGAAGAATGGAAATTAACATTCTTCACAGAGATATTTTTGTTCTCTTAAATTAAATCCTTTTCAAGCCGCTTTTTTGACCCGAAAAAATAAATCCATTCTGAATTTGCAATCACAGAAAATATGAAAGAACGCCTGATCACTATAGATTCCTACACATTAATGATGCATAACTATAATTGAAGGTTTAGTTTTGCAACCACTGCCCTCTTCTGACAGTGCAGTAGTTCACCCACAAAATGAAACTCATATAGACAATGTGTTTACACTCAGATCAGTTTACCAATGGCCAGCTCAATTGTCAAAGAAACTGATCCAGAGGAAAATTATTATTACACAAAAATGAACACACAACGTTTCCAAGTCTCTTAGTTTTAATCATGTTCCCACTGTCACTGACCTAGTACAAAGTGATTTCCAGAACTTTTCAAGCCAAAGCCAGATTTGATTAGGAGAAACACTAAAGAGGAAAAGGAATTTGCAAATTCACTTAATTCTTGAACAAGGAAACCCTCTATCCAGTTAGAACTTGTGGGCATTTATTTTTTGTTTTTTGTTTCCTGATCTCATTTTCCCAGAAACAACTTTCCTACAGATATGAGAAAAACAGACGAATGCCAGAATTAACCGCAGCTAAAACAAAACCTGCACGTAAAATAATCTGGAGGCTTAGTTATACCTGATTCCGAGCTGTAAACTGAGCATAAGATCGTAACTCCTGTGACCTTTAATTATTGTTTCTCCTATCCTCTTTATCTCCTTTGCAAGTTTCTTTTGTCGCCTTCTCACTCTTTTTGATGATGGTGAAAAACTGTCGCTGATGACAAGTTCACTGATTAAGACACCTTGCATGTATTCTCTTTCCAGGATTGGAGGATCTCTTTCGTTCTCATTATCTTCGCCGTACAAAGATAAATCATTTCCTATAACTTTTTCAATCGCTACCTCCAGGCTCCAACGCCGTTCTATAGACACATTTGTGGAACGAGACTGCTCCCATTTCAGTAGATCTCCGTTAGAAAGCTTATCAGCTGGACTCTGATGAGATCCTCTATTTCCAACAACTTTAGCGGCGGCCCCCACTTCAATTGAAGAAGCTTGATGAATATGCGAAACCTGATTTTGTTTTCTTAAATCCGGTAGCAGCCCTCGCTTCCTTAAAGCATTGAGATACAGTTCCTGACCAGCAGGAAGTTTGCCCCCTTTTGGGTAAAATGTCCCTTTCCCATCCTTTAAACTCCTGGTCCATGTACCAATATAGCAACTGCCATCACTCCATGTATATATACCAAATCCATTCATCATACCATTTAGCCAGTTCCCTTCATAAGAGTCCCCATTGGCCCACGTGAGAGTACCTTTCCCTGAAAGCTTTCCTCCTTTCAGATTTCCAACGTAGACATTTCCATTGGCCCATATGTACTTCCCAGGCCCTTCCGGATTTCCTTGAATCCAAGCTCCTTCAAACACGTCTCCATTGGGGTATACTTGGAATCCTAAACCATGTTTAAGGTTTAATTTCCAACGGCCCTTATAGGTGATGTGATCTCGTCCAGTATATGTGCCTGTACCGTGCATATAACCTCCAGAGAAATCCCCCTCGTACACAGCACCTGATGGCCATTGAAGCTTCCCATAACCGTGCCGCATTCCACATCGCCACTCACCCTCATATTTGCAACCATCTAACCAGGAATATTTACCAGAACCCTCTGGTACATTCCCAATTAAGGAGCCAGAGTACGCTTCTCCATTCCGAAGGAAGACCTCTCCGAACCGAAGTGAAGGGTGCTCAGATGATCTATGAGAAACTACCCCATTAGAAAATTTTAATGATCGATTGCTTTCACCAAGTGACAAGGCATCAGCAGATAATCCGCTTTCTGACAAATGGGGAGCATCTTCAACATCATCAACTGTGGCCACAGGACCAGACATACAAAAGTCCCCAAGTCAAAAGTCCAGTTCTAAGAGTGTAGCACCTTGTTCGTTTTCATCAGCAAACAGTGAGCATCCAAGGTAAGGTTTGCAGAATTGAACATGCTTTGATCTGAGGGAAGAAAATGAGATCAATTAAACATCTTAACATGATGAGCTTCAGTGGAATTGAAGCTTATGTGCTCAACTGTCCAAGTGCATCACCCACATAATGACCAAAAGAAACTTCTGAACATACAATTGACTTGAAGCAAATTTTCACTCACTTGAAATTTGCAAGTGAATTTTACACAACTTTAGACTTGGCACTGAATAAATATACACAACATTTCCAACTACTAATCAGAAGCCACTCCAATGTTTAAATACTAACTGATTCAGTAAATGCTGCCACTAAGACATAAACCATCAACATTTGCAAATTGTCCTAAGAAACACTGTTTCAAAGAGGCTTGAAACAGTTTCCATAGTTATCACTATCAATACAATTGCAAGGGTTAAATGTACATTAGCCAGGACTGTTGCATTTATACACCTTAGATGCATGTAAACAAACTCACACCGGATCCTGTGAAATTATTGCTTGAAGTTCGTGGATTATCCAGGAAACGAGCAAACTAAGAGGAACATGGATAATTAAAAACAATCACCTCCAAAATGTTCACAAGACCGTGAAGGAACAAAAGAATGACACGGAGCTTTCACATTATCCTAACATACAACAAATGAACAGTAACTACCAAATTATTTCTCACTTTTCCTATCGCGGAACTGGTGAAGCAAAGCAAAATTGGATATCATTCTCAAAATACCCTTAGATTTATCAGTTCCTTCGAGAAATTCTTATATATATATAGAAGCGCAAAAAGTATGAACAACTGCCTGTCCGTCAAACCTCACATATCTTGGCATTACTTGCGGCTGAAAACTCGATCATGAAGAATTCAAGCAAATTATTCATGATTAAACAGTACAGGAGAAATCAAGAATCTAAATGCAGCGACAATCTGGTACAATTCATCATTTGTAAACAGAGCTATCAGCTATGGCTTCTATACCTGGAAATGGAAATTGGAACGAAACAGAGCTCTAAACAGGAAAATCGAAGAAGACGATTCTGAGTAGTTATTCCAACCAAAAGTTGGAGTTCTTCCTCGGTGTAGTAATATGTTGAATTGATAGAATTGTTTTCTTTCTCGCCCTCTATCTTCTCTCTCTTCTTCTTTACTGTAAAGTGGCCAAGGGAAAATGGAAAATGGAAGGGAAATTGGATCGAATCCCAAGGGTGTGAGCGTTGAGTACAAAACTGAAAACTCATTGACAACTAACAACTTGTTCGTTGTTCGGTCATATTATTATTAGTATTATTATTATTATTATTATTATTATTATTTTTTAGTAGTGTTTAAGAGGGAAAAAAAATTAAAAATAAAAGAAGACTCGTACGTGTATTTTCGTTGTATTGTTTGTATCGAGATTTGCATAAAAACAGAAATTAATTGAGTCACTTTCTAGCAAAGATACTTTTATAATTCCCATTTAAACATAATTATCTTTAAGCATTATTTAATGGAAGTTGGTGGATAAAAGTATAAAGCTGTTTGACACAAAAAAATAGACTCAACAGTTGTTTGACAATTTCTTTTTTTAAAGCTTAATTTTGTATTAAATAGAATGCTTATTAGTTTTGATTTTCAGATTCGATTTTTCTTTTTGCATTGAATATAGAATTGTGTACGTGAATAGTATACATGGCAACCACAACTGAGGGGTAGGGAGGCAATTAATGCAAATTATTATGCAACTAGGCCATTTGTTTAAAACGTTTTGCATTGAATGTTCTTTCAGGATGCAACTCTAATCACAAATTTTGATCCATACAAAATAACTCTTTCCGTCCCAAAATGATCGTAATATTTATTATATAATAACTTAAAACACAAAAAGAGAATATGAGTTTCATCTCATTTTGTTCAGTTTATATTATCTTGTCAGCTTATTCCTTTTCTAAACGAATATAATTTCACAGCAAATGTTCTTGAAACCCATTAGTTATTTGACCATGAATATAATTTTATATATTCTACCTAGTCAAATTGTAGAATAAGCCTAAATATCTTAGGAGGTTTGGTCAAGCAAAATTAACGTATTCCCTCCACTCAAAAACACAAGTTTTGTTTGTAAGATGATTGTAACTCAACAAACAAGACGCGGAAATCTTTCTTAATTAAAGTCAGATTTTTATGTGTTTGTTTAGACGTCAGTTTTGTTTTCATTTTCCACTTGAATGTGAAAAGTGTTTTAAGTAGAAAATATAATGGGAGATGAAAAAGTTGTTTGGATAGTATCTTTAGTAAAAAGTTATTTTTCTATTCAAATATCAAGTACGAAAAATATCTTATAAAAAAATATGAAAATATCAATAAATAATCGAAAAGTGTTAATTTTAGTCACTGTAAAAAAAAGAGTTTAAAAAATGATCACTAAACAATAGAATAAAAATGTGCAAAGTTTTGGATTTAGTCCATGAACTAATTTTTAGTTCTAAAAAAGGTCACTACACTAACAAAATGTTGCAATTTTGATTTTAAAATGTAAATCAGAAATTTATTTGAATGATTATTTGTTTTGCATTGAGTTTTGAGTTCAAGAGATAAAATGAGTTGAAAATGAAAAAATGAGTAGACGGGAACAAGCCATATATAATTCTGATTACAAAATTTTGTGTCGGGCACAAATCTTATTAGATACAGCCCAGTTAAATGTATCTTCACAAACTCCAAAATTGAACCAATATTAAACTGGTTTATGGGATACGCCTTTACAAAATTGAAACGAAAAAGACCTAATCCAGATTAAAATAAAAGGAAAATAAAATTACGTCTCTTTCTGAGGAAATGTCATGATAAAAAAGTTTTTTTGTACGTGATTATGAGGATGAGCACACTAATCATTATTAATCTTCCTACTTGCACTAATTGATGACAAAATTAACATTATTTTATGAGGCCGGAGAGGACCTATGTGGTAGCTAGGCCTAGGTACATTGCTTTGTCTATTACCTGAAAAAAAAAGGTGCAATTTGCAAGAACATGGAACATTCTACCCACTGAGTGGCTGACATGTGTCCTCAATTTTCTCAACTTTTAGGCCTTTAAAAATCGGAAACGAAAAGTTGCTTCGCTTTTTTTTTTTTTTGTGGGTGGATTGAAGTTGGAGTCAGAGCAAACAATGGAACAGTTGATTTTTGTCCATTTGTCCCTAATTGAACTACTGTTTGGGATTTGAGGATTGTGATTACAGCATTTTTTTTACTCTGTCCATTTCGTTATAATAATTTAATTTTAAAATTGGGAAATACTTGATGATAAATTTAGTTAAACTGTTTGGTAATGTGCCAAGTGTTTCATTTGAAAAGGCTGTCGTATACTCTATTGCTGCCTTATCAGCGATAGCTCGTCTTTGCTCTAAAAATTTATTAGTGCACTCGTAATTATATGCACCTTATGTATATTTCTGATTTTATTTTGTACATAATTTTATTTATTTTTCAAATGTAATTAATTAAAATAAGAAGGAATTTGAAATTGTTCTGGCCTTTTGCTTTTATGGACTTCGAATATTTATAGTCTACCGATCGTTCCCATTCTGCCAAACTATATTGAAATTCAGATCTCGGTTACTTCCGTTTCTTTCCATCTCACTTGATTTTCAAGTGGGAGAATTAGTTTGAAAAAACCATCTTTAGAAATTAGAATTGTAGATACACTGTATGCCAAAAAGGAAAGAAAGAAAAAAACTGTAAATTTACTATCTTATACTCCCTCCGGTCTTTATTATAAGGCATTTTGATTTGTACTAGATTTCACCTGGGATGTCTTTTGAATTAATTGGAAAAAAAAATCTTAAAATTTTTTTTTCACATTCGCTGTGTCCTCTTAATTGTTATGAAATGTTTTTAAGGTTTTTATTTCAATTAAAAAGACATCTTAAGTGAAACTTAGAATAAAATCAAAATATCTTATATAATAAGGACCGGAGGGAGTATATACGTATTTCTTTTTTCCCATTTTAATAATATCCACGTAATTCTTTTTTTGAGTTTGATAAAACAACATTTTATAAAATGTACTCGAAGAAAGTACATACTCAATGGTGACAGAAAAATCCATATTGTGATGGTAATATATTACATGCATAAAATAACCCCCTCAAAAGCAGTGGATGTGATTAATTCCATTACATTTTTATATATGAGCTTTAGATTAGATTCTCTCTCTCACTATATATTTTTGTGGTTTACAGGTTAGATTCTTCCAGAAGAAAGAGTACGTTGATCACTTTCTATGGGAATATCGATCTACGTACAGCAATTACTTAAGAAGGGGCTGTTTACTCTTTTTTTTTTTTTTTTTTAAAAATCAATCTTAGATGTGGTAGAGAATTGGTTACAAAGCTTACAATTTATTAGTGTAAAACTGAATATAATTTAAAATATGGGTTCCATCAAATAAAACAAAACAATGGCAATATGTCTGAACTGTATCAGATGTATGGTATAAGGAGCTGGATAATTAGCTGTTTTACCTTAATTCTTGTCGCGGAGTAGTTTTATATACGGGAATATCTACATGCTTATATTATGATCCTCCCAGATGTTGACGTAGGTCACAAGATATTCTCCCATTCCGTTAACAAAACATAACAAATGATGCCGACAATTAACAGTTTTCGGGGCACACCAGATCGAAAATAAATACTTATATCAGTACTACATTATATAAGTGGATGGGTAACAGAAATGGAAAACTTTTCGGTTTTATAATTGGTGGAAATTAGTAATGGCACCATGTCGTTAGGATTCTCTATTAATTTTCATGGGGGAAAAAAAAGAAAAGCAGCATTGCTACTGACTACCATGTGAGTTTGTTTCATCCTGCTCTTAATTTGATTAATTAGTTACGTGTAAGTGTTTCTATTTGTGTGTGTTTAACTTTCTTGCTTTATGTAGATGTGATATTAGTTATCACCTTATTTTACATAGTAAGAGATCAGCATTACGAGTTTATATTTTTCGGAATAAAACTATACTCAAAAAAAAAAAGTGAGTGGTGGTTGTGCATATACTGCCCAGCAAATACTACTTTACAATTAGTTATACCAAAAAAAAATAAAAATTATTATACCGTTCATTGAATAATTTAGTCAATAATTTTATTTTAATTTTGTGGATGAAAATAAGAGGGTATAAAGTCTTATGAAAATATGAAATGTCCACGATGCCATGATTAAGCAATTTCTAACAGGTCGCAATCCATTTTCACCATAAGGAACATATGATGCCATCATTTTCACTACTCATTTTTCTTTCCTTTTCCGGCACTATCTAGCTAGCTAAATAGAGTTAAATATAATCCATCTTTTCACCCCGAAGGTAACAAATGAATGAATTTGTGCGCAACACTTAAAGACAGTAATATGGTTGGGTGTCATGGGAATTTGTCTACCATTGACCAGTTTAATTATTAGTGACGTAGCAAAGTATTTACGAAAATCACAACTCGGTCAATTGAAGACACCTCATTGGACCGGCGGCGACTATTATTATACTACGTCTATTTCAATTTACAGTGTTGGTAGCTAGTGAACACATATTCATGCATCTCATCATATTTTATGGTTGTGTTGATTCTTTCCTTCTACGATATATTACTTCTTTGTTAATGTGTTAATCAAAAACCCAAGTAATTATAGCTCAACGATTGGGACGAGGTAGTATGATATCTCTAATGATGTTATTTTTTGCATTGCGACGTTTTGGGTGCTAAATGAACCCGGACTCGCTTATATATGATGAGGAACAAACACAACTTTGCGGATGCCGTTGTGACTTCATTAAGTTGTCATCATTTTTTACTCCAACATATAGCACATGGGAGGCCGAGACAATGGTCATGCAAAATTTTGGATGTGGAGGCGAGGGCCCTTCGATTCTCAAAGTATTCATCCAAATCATGCACCGTGCACTTTGGCCTGTTCATCGTAGAATATAGATGAGCTAACTTTTTTTTTTTTTTTTCTGAACAAATAGATGAGCTAACTTATTCTTCTTCCGGTCGATACTCTAGTTTGAGAGTTCACTTTTACTACAAATTATACTAATAATAAAAATTGAAATTAGATAATAATTTTAAGATAAAAAGAATTATATATATTTATATATAAACACTTCCTGGTGTTAAAATTAAATAATCTGATTCAAGTTTTGGTAAATCTCTAATTTATAGATTTTGTTTTTAAGCTCCTGCTGGGGGTTGCCAGTATACTAATGGTTATGTCTCCACTC